AGGAAGGGAATGAGATCAGTTACGGCAAGTTCAAGTGAAAAGTCTAGAAGTCAGACAAAAATCTTCAGGGAGAAGATGGATACATGGTCCAGCGAATTACCAGAGGTTTAGCCTTTTGCTGTGAATTTAGAGGTCAGCATATAGGGGATATTTAAACAACAGGAGAATTCATGAGTCCAGAGCAAAGGCTTAACATGAAAAGGAGGCCAATAAGAGAATCCTCAGCAACATCACCTTCTCAGGAGCAGATGTGGAAAAGCAAGCCAGGAAGGACACTGAGAATGTGTGGTTAGAGAGATAACTCAACAACAAGGCAATAAGGAGCTTCCAAAGTCAGAGAAAGGAGAAGGAGTGGTCAAGGCCATGTTAAACTGAGTAGAATCACTCAGACAAATTTGTGAGTTGGGTAATTAGGAGGTCATTGTTGATCAGAGACACAGTTGTTTTAATGATATGGTGATAAGATGTGGGGTGGGTAGAAGTCAGATTATAGTGGTTTGATGAGTGGATAGGAAGTAAGAAAATGTAGACACATGTGTAGAGTATTCTTTCATTGACATTGACTCTTCCACATGAGGTGAGGCCAAGTCTAGGCTGAGTGGGGACTGGAGTAGATAGAGGGGCTCCCTTATCCAAAGATATGCCAAGTGTTAAAAGCAAGAGAGAGGTCAGAGCTGAGAGTGAAGTGAGAAAGTGACCCCAGTAAGCCATATATGGAGTTTGAAAGGCTCCCCCAAGGTGGAAGACTAAAGCCAATGTCTGAAGCTGGATTAGAGTCAAGGATAAGACAGCTAGCTTATAGGCAGGTATTCAAAAAGAATGTGCAGGGAAGAAGACAGTATGTGCTGCTGGGCCTGTAGTTCAAGGGACTAACCAGGAGCTGAGGCTCAATAAGGGAGGGGGGAAAGGTGAGGAGGGCCTGGCAGTAGAAGTAGGGTAGCTTTGGAAGCTAAAAAACTACCAAGTGGCGGTTTCCACATTTGAAAATTTCAGACAGAGAAGGATTCGAGGTGATAAAGTCTGGGATTTGTCCATGACAGTGAGCCACAGGATGAAGTAAACATGCAGTTTCTCAGAATTAAGGTCAAAATTCTGGGAAGCTGCAATGTGAGAATCTTCCCCATGAGCACCAAAGTTGCCCACAATGATGGAAGAAATTGGATTCAAGGGGAAGAATATATCTAAATCCTCAATGAAGAGAGTCCTAACCAGGAGAGGACAGTTGTTAATAAGTGAAGACAGAAAAGCTAGATAAGGTAAATATGAACTCAGGAAGGAGTTTTGCACAGGAGTGGGCATGGAATGGTGGCAATGGGCCCTGGGAAGGATAGCTTCAACTCCTTCCAGTCCAGCTGGACATTGTGGTGGAGGGGTAGAGCTGTATAGGAGATGGTACCTCTTTGAAGCTGGGATAGGAAATGAATATTTGTATTTCAGTGGCAGCAGATAAGGAGAGAAGACTATCTTTACCATAGACATGTGAAAACTATATGCTTTCAGAAACTAAAAATCATTTTTTATTTTTGGCCAGGACTATTGGATTAAGTGTTTCCAGGGAATCACAAAAAGACAGTTGCACTGACTGGGTAGTATTTAATATGATCATGTCTTAAATAAGAAACCATGAACATAAACATTTAAAACCAAATATATAAT